TAATCATGGCGTTAGGGATGCCATCGGCGGTACTGCGGCTGCAGTGAGTCAACCCATTGGTCGTAGGAGTAGTCGACGGACGACCACTAAATGTAACATAACTTGTCATTAGAGAGAGAGAGAGCAATACTACCTTTGATGGCGTTCTGGTACTTAGTCTTGAAGTCGCAGTCCTTATAATCGCAGCGAAAGTATTTGATGACAGAGTTGTGCGACTCCTTGATGTGTCGGGTCAGGTACCTGTCGGACGAGTAGGACACCCCACACGACAGGCACCGGTAGGGCTTGAGGTTGAGGTGCCATCGATTCATATGCGACTCCACGGCCTTCCAGTCCCTGTGAGTATAGTCACAGAAATCGCATTCCTTTTTCTTTTCCACAGTTGTGTCCACTTTTGGGGTATCCGGAGGTCTGGTCGAGCCCTCAGATGCCTTTCCCTTTGCTATCAGATTATAAGCAATCAGTTAACAGTTTATTCATAGATCTCTCTCTCTCTCTCTAATGACAAGTTATGTTACATTTAGTGGTCGTCCGTCGACTACTCCTACGACCAATGGGTTGACTCACTGCAGCCGCAGTACCGCCGATGGCATCCCTAACGCCATGATTATCACCACAATTACTATCACTGATTAACACTTCCTTAACGCTAATCAAGAGCTCATTATTAGCCGATTCATCGATACCTATGTTATACACATATTTGACACCCGGCTTATCACTACCCCCACGAATACCCTGATCATCACTGCCAGCGTGACTATCCTGGGTATCATCCACGGGGTAACTGAGCTCAAGTTGGTTGAAGTGATGCACGTATTGGGCATTACTCTGACAGTTGACACAACTCTGGAGACACTGATGAGTCAATTGGCGATAGTTTTGGCATAAATTGTGCGAAACTTTGAGTTCATTACAGAGTCTCTGGTTTTCAGCGTATAGTTCATGCAAAATGTCATTCAGTGCTATACTGGCAGTCATTTCGCCGTCATCTATGGGTTAATACACTTTGTATTAATTAGTTATTAAACTATTGTTTTCATTAAATTAGTTAAAAGTTTGAATTTAAGTTAATTGTAAAATAAAAATATAAAAACTGTAAACAAAAACACGTTTCAAGTGTTTTGCTCAACACATGTTGGGGTCGTTCACTAATTACGTGTTGTTTGTAGAAAAGTTTGAAAGTTTTTGAAACTACATAATATTTATTATTTTAGTTAAAATTATTTTTTCTAAACGATTTAATTGCTAATATTATAATTATTTTACTAGTTTGTTATACATTGATTTTAATAATTTTATTTTAGTACCCTGTTAATAAGATTTATAAACTTAAAATTGAAATGCTACACTAATATCAATATTATTTTTAGTGTTAATAAATTGCCCTATTTAATTATTATTAGCAATTAATTTGACTAAAATATAATAAGACAATTAGTTTTAAAAATATTAAAATGTTTGGCAATCACTATAATAAGACTCATACGAAAAGTATGTGTTTATTCATAACAAGTGATTGTATTTTGAGAAAATTGTTTTTGTTTTAATTATTATCAAAAAGTATTTCCTAAACATTTTTTGTAAAGGTTATTTTACTTGTTAATTTACTTATTAAATTACGTAACACTTTACGTACATAATATACTAGCAACATCCTGTAGTTAACATTCAACACTTTACTGTTATATTAATGTAATATATTGTCAAATAACTATTCATTCATAATTTCTGTCTAATTAAGCGAGCAAGTATTTTATTTGAATATTTTTTTATTAAAATTTTAATTTTGTATTCTAGATCATTTTTAATTTTTAAATGAATTCCAGTGCTGATAATATGACAACTATTTATAATCTTGATAATATGCCTAATACAATAAATTATGAGTTATTTATAATTTTAATAATTGTGCTTGGTTTATTGGCAATTGTATTCGGAATATTAAGCAATTTATATTGGTACTATTGCAAATACAAACCATTGCTGACACTGTACCCAGGTCCCCAAAATGATCCAGTTTATGAGAATGTCTATTATTACGCCAGTGATCATGTGGTCAAAGAATATAAGGAATCCAGTGTTCAAACTGTTAATTAAAAATAATTATTTTTTATGATTGTATAAAAGTTTGTCTACATATTGTATAATAATCATGCTTATTTTATTATTCATTTTGTAATTTAATTATTAATTATTTTAATAATGTTCTTAAAAATGTGTATAATTTAAAATACAATTATATGTTTTAAATATAAATAAATCTTTAGTTTTATGTTTAAAACTGTAGCAAAATATTGTGTGAATATTTGTGTTGATTATAAACGTTGTGATCATTCAATATATAAATGTTTCCCAAATATATAAGTGTTCTCCAAATATACACCATTCGTATGAATGCATGCATTGCTATGTATTTATCATTCAATTAGTGTATTGTGAAGCAAAATACTGTTCAACTATTGCACTGATTCTCAATAAGATTTAAATTTGGGATAAATTTATATTTTTCAAATTATTAAATACTTGACGCCGTAATACAGTACTTGTTAAAGAAAAATACACCAAGCTCTCACAATATCAGAATATAGCGTGGTCTTATTATTAACATTTAAAGCGGCACAAAATTATTTTTAAAAATATTTTTCATTAAATAAATTTTATTTATCTAATTAGCTATACAAATAATTTTAATTAACTTGCTTATAAGTCTAATGAATTTGTTATACTGGTACAGTATATTAATATGTCTAATTATTGTAATTTATGCAAGCCATGATAATTATGAAAGCTTTTCAATTTATATATTTAATATGAGGTTTTTGTAAAAAATAAAATCTATTTATAAAATAGTATTAACTCTCGAGTGCTTTATAACTTTAATTGTATTTTCAATCATCCATTTAAAACTATTTTAGTATTACATAAAAGTTATTACAAAATGTATCGTTAAGTGTAGGATATGGCAGTCTATTCAGCTTTAATTAATTAATTCTAATATAAGATATTTTATTTATATATTTTGATTAATAATACAATCGTTAAAATAAGATTTACATAATATCATGATTATATGTTTAATGTAATTTATATGTTTAGATAATAATAAATAGCACTTATCATAAAAATACATAAAAAAGCACTTATCAATAAATTATTTTTATACAACCAAAGTTTTATAGAAATAATTGAATAGAAATAATTAATTGAATCTAGTAAATACAAAATCAATAGTGTTATAAATCACATAGATATACGACTTTGTATGATCACTATGTTATAAGAGTCTACAGTTTTTGCATAAACAATTCACTAGTCAATAGTAATTGATTACATAGACTAGTATCGTATTATCAGTGTTTAATATATGAAACGATATTAATAATAAGATTATCGATGAATTAGCATTATTAATATATTTAATTACTAATAAGTTAAAACTAATTTATATATAATTGAATGCAAGAAACAAACCATTAATTAAATTAATTCTCAAAATATTCTTGAAAAATAAAATAATGTTTGAATACTTACTGACTTTTTATGGCATTTGTGGCCAAAACAATACTATTAGACACGTGTTCACCGGTATTAATATCACAGTATTTACGGCATCATTAATATCTTTTGGGTTAAATATGATATACGTTAAAGCCTATGAGGTCTGTGTAGTAATAATATTTATCAAACTCTTGATTTTATTTGTGTCATATCTCTATGTAATATACAATTCAAAACTAATTAATGAATTAAACCAAGAATTGTGTGCATACTACCGAAAATATAACCTAGCACCAAATAACATAATCATAATAAATATTATTTTCATAATAATCTATTTATTAAGCAATGGGTTGCGAATGCATGTAATATATTATAATACACATGTTACTAAAATTATCTACAACCAATACCTGGATGAATTATTATCCCAAAGCCCATCGCTGCCACATTTAACATTTATTAATGTATCCTGGCTACCCTGCGGTTGGTTTCATACCCTGAATATATTATCGTTTAATTTGTACTCAAAATATATAAATATATTACAAATACATGTCATAAA